TCTCAGACAGTATTCTACATATTGCCAGTCATCAGCGAAAGCAGTGTGGAGTCCAGAGGCATGAATATTAGTTCTGTCTCTGTTCCAACTGGTTACCTGATCTTGGGCAAGTATCTTCACTCATCTGTGCCTCAGTTTCTTCGACTTTGAAGTGGGGGGTTGTGCAAGATGATAGTCAAGATGCCCCCACCCAGCCTTAAAAATTTTTCAGTTTGCTCATCTGAACTGAAGTCTGTTTTTCCTCAGGTGATATCATTTCCTTGAAACTTTGCTGGGGAAGACAGCTATTTTTCCTTCTTCCGATAATTCACTGGACAAAGAAAAAGTTGGTTTATATACAGACAGTCCCAACTTACAATGGTTCAACTTTATGATTTTCCAACTTCACGCTGGGTTGAGAGTGATAGGCGTTCAGTAGAAACCATAGTTCAAATTTTGAATTTTGATCTTTTCCTGGGCTAGCTGTACGTGGTACGATGCGTACTCGTGATGCTGGGCAGGGGCGGTGAGCCACAGGTCCCGGTCAGCCCTGGGATCACGAGGATGAAAACCCAATACTCTTACAACCATTCTGTACCTATATAACCATGCTATTTTTCCTTTCTGTATGGTATTCAATAAATTACATGAGATATTCAACACTTTATTTATAAATTAGGCTTCATGTTAGATGATTGTCCAGCTGTAGGCTAGTGTAAGAGTCTGAGCATGTTGAAGATAGGCAAGGCTAAGCTATGGTGTTCGGTAGGTTAGGTGTATTAAATGCATTTTTAAAAGAGATTTTATTTATTTATTTAAGAGAGAGAGGGAGAGAGAGAGCACAAGCAGGGGGAGTGGCAGGCAGAGGGAAAAGCAGACTCCCTGCTGAGGAGGGACTCGATCCTGGGACTCCGGGATCATGACCTGAGCCAAAGGCAGACGCTTAACCAACTGAGCCACCCAGGTGCCCCTTAAATGCATTTTCGACTTGCAATTTTTCATTTTACAAAGAGTGATCAGGGTGTAATCCTGTCGTAAATTGTGGAAGACCTGTATTTCTGACTTACCATGGCCCACTTCCATACCTTTGTTTCTCTTCCATAAATGTAATGCTCTCTCTTCTTCAAAAATTAAATGAATCTTTTAAAATTATTATTTTAAGACTAATATGTATTTAATGTAGACAAAAATGAAAATTATGTTGCCTCTGCTAATTTCTCATAACCCTATACTCACGTGTCAGCGATGGCATTTGTAACATCCTGCCCTTATAATTATTTGTGTCCTTAGAGATGATATATTTTAGGAGGTCAGTAATTGTGTCCTACTCATTTTTACAGTTCTCATAGTGTTCATTTCAGTGCCTCATCAATAACAGACACCCCAGAAATGTATACTGAATTAATGAGTGAGTCAACAAACCATCTATAATAAATTTTTAAAAATCTAATATACAAAACAATAAAATAAAATTTCCTTTCTGGTGTCTGTGGGTGATTTTCCTGCTCTTTTGAGCTTTTATGTAATATTGTTTATGCATTGTTTATGTGATACCCCCTTTGATTTTATACACATATATAAGGTCATTGAATTCTCTCTGGCACGGCAAGATATTTCTGATTTTTTAAAAAAGTAGATAGTGGAAATATTATAGCATTTAGAATCAGAGTTTTGAATCCCGAGTCTGTCACACAATTATGTATGTACTTTTGGTCAAGTTGCTCTGTCTCCCTAAACCTCAGTTCCAAATTTGATACAGTAAGAATCGCAGACCTTATACCCTGGGTTGGTATGGGATAATGAATGTGGAAATTCTTTGTAGATTGAAATGACTCTATTTATTTTATTTTACTTTTATTTTTTTTAAAGATTTTATTTATTTGAGAGAGAGAATGTGTTCATGAGAGCAGGGAGGATCAGAGGGAGAAGCAGACTCCCCATTGAGCAGGGAGCCTGATGCGGGGGCTTGACCCTGAGACTCTAGGATCATGACCTGAGATAAAGGCAGACACTTAACGGACTGAGCCACTCAGGCGCCCCGAAAGATTTATTTATTTATTTGAGAGAAAGAGAGAGAGAAAGGGGGAGGGGCAGAAGGAAAGGGAGAGAATCAAGTGGACTCAGTGCTGAACGTGGAGCCAACACAGGGCTTGGGGCTCGATCCCAGGACCCTGAGATCATAACCTGAGATGAAATCAAGAGTCAGAGGCTCAACCAACTGAGCCACCCAGGCACCCCTGAAATGACTCTATTAAAAAATCATCTTAAAAAAAAATTCTGAGAAGATATGGGGCACCTGGGTGGCTCAGTCAATTACGCGTCTGCCTTTGGCTCAAGTCATGACCTTGGGGTCATGGGATCAAGCCCTGCATTGGGCTCCCTGCTCACCGGGGAGCCTGTTTCTCCCTCTCCCTTTGCTGCTCCCCCTGCTTGTGCTCTCTCCCCTTCTCTCTCAAATAAATAAATCTTTTTTTTAAATTCCGAGAAGATATACTATTATTATTACATTATTTTTACTGTTAAAATGATCAAAATTCTTCAGTGGAAGAGTTTAGCAGACTCCTAGTTCAATGCTAAGACTTGATAGGGATTTGACTTGAGAGGCATGCTCTGCCGTTTCCAAAGAAGCCAGAGAAATATGCTGGTAAAACTTTTGGAAATGTATGTAATCTTAGGGCCACTATGTGTGGCTACACAATTCCAGGATCTCCATTCACATGGGTATCTGTGAAGCCCCCGGCCCTATATAGCGGGGTGGCCGTGGTCCACCATGCAGTTACAAAATGAATGGAAAGCCTAACTATGGAACACCTAATAAGTTCTGTGAGTGTTTTAGGAGAAATATTTATAATGAATTCTTAAGCTGTATATGTCACTCTTTATCATTACTAATAGTAAAAACATAAAGAAAAAGTGTTGAGACAAATACAAGACATTACGTTGAGAGGATACAGCCTACCAGAGATAAAGAGTTATGGGTTTAGATACAATGCATCCCTCCGTGGCCTAAGTGCTTCCCATCATTTTATTAATGTGAGTCTGGATTTCATTCTTCAATAAGAAGTGTTTCAGAACAAAAGTACAGTTATACTTTGTTAAAAATTGTATATCCCCCTGCTGTACTTTTCATCTCCACGACTTACTTATTTTGTAACTGGAAGTTTGTATCTCTTAATCCCCTCTCTATCTATTTCACCCATCTCCCCACCCATCCCCCTTCTGGTAACCAGAAGTTTGTTCTCTGTATTAAGTCTGTTTTTGTTGTTGTCTCTTTTTTCTCTTCATTTGTTCATTTGTTTTTTTTCTTAAACTCCATATATGAGTGAAATCATATTGTATTTGTCTTTCTCTGTCTGACTTACTTCACTTAGCATAATGCCCTCTAGGTCCATCCATGTTGTTGCGAATGGCTAGATCTCATTAAGATTGCAATAATGTTGTTTGGTGTCAGACGGTGACTGCACTTATTGTGGTGAGCCCTGAGTAATGCATAGATTTGTTGAATCATTATGTTTATACCTGAAACTAACCTAACACTGTATATTAATTATACTTCAATAAAAATTATATATCCCAATAAAATCATAATATCTAAAAAATACATGCAAATAGATTACATAGGTACTTTTAAATACATAAATACTGCATTACACATTTTTTCTTATGTACCATAACTGTTATGCTTACTTAATAGCTTTGTCTCACCAATGTAGCCATTCATGGAAATAAGCATCAATTGACTGTTGACTCCTCTTAAGTCCTAAGAAAAGAAACTGTCCTCAAGATGCTCACAGATATTCACTGTGGATCCTAAAGCTCCCAAGAAAGCATGAAGTAAACTGTAAATGGGATTATGTGGAACCCAGCATGTGGGTGTTTAAGCCTCAAAAATAAGAAAAAGGGAGAGAGAAGAAAGAAAAGTAGAAAGAAAGAAGAAAGAAGAAAGAAAGAAAGAAAGAAAGAAAGAAAGAAAGAAAGAAAGAAAGAAAGAAAGAAAAGGAAGGAAGGAAGGAGAAAGGAAGAAAGATCATCCCTAATTACATGGGGTAAAATCATCTTCAGGTAGGAGAGAATTAAGACACATGAGTCAATTTGGGGCTTAAGCTGATCTTTCCACAAGAGGAATTGTTTCAAGTAGGACTTTGACTCACTGTCAAATGTGTTTCATTCCAGCCAATAGGGAAGAATTCATAAAGCTCTTTGTGAGCCAAATACAAAGCTATGGCTGCTAGAAAGAGAGACCCATTTCCATTCCCGGGCATAGCCAGTGATATCAGGAGGGGATGAAGCAGCAGTTTGGGAATGAGCCCAGCAAATTGCCAAAGCACTGGGGGACACCTGGAGCCACAGTACCACTGAGAAAAAAAACTTCATCCCGGAGCCTATGGAAACAGGTGTACACTTGGGGGCTTGGGATCCTAGTGACTTTACTAAGAAAAGATAATAATATGAAAAGTACTCCCATAGTAACAAGAAGAAACGGTCACACAAAGGGACTTTGTTGTCCCTCAATCTCTTACAAGAATGATAAGCCTATTTGCCTTAATAAAATAAAAGGTCTTCCTTTTTAATATTATTTAAACTCAATTTTTCCACTTTTTTAACCCAGCTGGTATGATAGTAATAAAGAAGGCATTATTTTGTAGTTGAATCTGGGCAAAGTATTTTGTCTGATGCCCTAAACTTTGGGTTGGAGTGGAGATAACTATCCTGAGGTAACCACACATAAAAGTTTATGTATGCCCTTGAGCATTCTTTCTTGGTCATTCTCCTAGGATAATTAGTAGTTATTCAGATTCTAGGATTTGATATAGAAACTCTCTCTTAGAATAGGGAAGGAAACACAGGACAAAATATTAGGGCTAATGTCTGAGGAAGTTTCTTAACCCCTAATAGGCATGTCTCTGAATTTTTAATTTTGGAGGAAAGTGGTTGTCTTCCTTGAATTGCATTTGATACTGTGATTGTGGAGTCAGATAGGCTGTACCACTTGCTAGTTTGTGTGATCATTGTCAAATTACCTCAGCTCCCTGTCCTTGAGTTTCCTGATCTGCAAAATAAGGAGAATTAGGTCTGTTTTATAGTGTTATGGCACAGAATAAATAAAGAATGTACACTGAAATAAAATGCTCCATTCATGGTAACTGTTTTACAGTTCAGTGATAGAATGAGACTACTCCTTATAAACTGCATTCTGTTATGGAGGATTCATGTTTCATGTTTGGTAACTAACTGAAATATTCAAATTCCTAAAATGTATAGACAAATGAGGAAAAGACATTTATTATTCTGTATCAGGCAAATAGATACTTCCAAACAAAAAGAGTGAAAGACAAAAACACAACACTCAGCGCTCATGTAAGCCAGTAAAAATCTTCATCTGAAAAAGCTTGGGAGCCTGTCTAAATTCTCCCTAGGCTTTGTCATCTGACCTCTAGATCATTTGATTGCATCTAAACAGGAGGAAGGGTGATAGAATCTAAACCCCTCCCCTTTGTAACGTACAAGTTGCAAAACTGGTCTGAGGCCTGGGATTGGGAGGCCATACACACAAGGACAATGGAATTAGCTATTTGCTGTGAAGTTGTATCTTACAGATCCTCTGTCTTACAGAGGGATAATGAAAAACTGAGGGCAATTAACAATAGAAAATTCACTATGAAGACCAGAGAGCCTATTTGGTATCCTAGAGGTCCCTTTTCTCTTGTAGTGAGAAGCAGAAACAAGCTTCAACCAAATTCAGAATTGAATAGAGTTTCTAGCTTCAAAGGCAATTGAACACATAACCCAAGAAGATCTATTACGCCAATGTCAAGGCCCTGGTTAGGAAACCCAGGAATCCTGACACATGGGATAAGGATATCTGCATATTTCTTGAAGATTTTTGTTTCACAGACTTACTTAAATCCTCAGAGCCTGCAAAGGTGATGTATTCCTCCTCACTAAGAGTAATACTGTCTTCATAGAGGAAGATACTCTAGAGACCTCTGCTCCACAGTGCAACTGGGCCCAAACCACCAAGTTAATAGGCATGTGGAATGACAGCCAGGGTCATGTTGAGCCTGATAAGGGAGGACAGGACCTGTACCCCGCAGAATCTGTGGGAGTTAGTCAGCATTTTCCACAAGGAACCAGGAGGTACCTGAGGGACTGGATCTTGAGAACATTTTATCAAAGGGGCTGAAACTTAAGACTGAATAAGGTAGAGTTTATTGACTTGGGGGAACTCTCTCTCTCTCTTTTTTTTTTAAGATTTTATTTATTTATCTGACAGAGAGAGCATGCACAAGCAGGGGAAGCGGCAGGCAGAGGGAGAAACAGGCTCTCCGCTGAGCAGAGAGCCCCATGCGGGACTCCATCCCAGGACCCTGGGATCATGACCTGAGCCAAAGGTAGATGCTTAACCAACTGAGCCACTCAGGCGTCCCTTGGAGGAACTCTCTTGAGACACTAGGTTTAGAACCCTTCCAAGAAACTCAGGGAACATAAAACTCAATGCAAGAGTGGCTGAAGAAAGCAATGGCTATGCTGAGCTAAGTTGAAATGCTCGAGTTTTTGTAGCATATGATGAACAGAAAGAATAAAAAGCTCAGGCAATGAGCACACTTGAGTGTACATATCCTGTGAGGCTGAAAACCCCATCAGAGGATTTTGTTCCATGGAAGTCCCATAGATCACGTGATTTACCCCGGCCATCAGGTATATGCCAGTGAGAAGCATCACATCACCAAGAAGTCTAGGGGTGGCTCTCATCTGACAGTAGTAGAGTAGGAGAACTTGGCCCATTGATAGGAGGGCATGAAGACAAATGGTAGCGTCTAACCAATGGTTCACAACGATCATCATGATGGGCAAAGGTGATGTGGCATCCAAGAGGACTTGACCTGCAGGGTTGTAGAGATGGTTAGTAAAACACAGTGTCCCAAGGGGCAAAATAGATAGGCAAAAAAGAAGTGCTGCTTTATGTCTCTAATCAAAAGAAAGCAAGAATGGATATGGGGCACTGGGGTGGCTCAGTCGATTAAATATCCAACTCTTGATTTCAGTTCAAGTCATAATCTCAGGGTCATGAGATCGAGCCCCGTGTCAGGCTCTGCACTCAGCACAGAGTCTGCTTGAGATTCTCTCTCTCCCTCTCCCTCTGCCCCTCCCCTGGCTCACACATTCTCCTTCTCCAAATAAATAAATAAATAAATAAATAAATAAATATCTTTAAAAAATAGAAGAAAGCAAGAATGGATAAACAGAGGGCTGCAGAAAGTTGTCTTAATAAAAATTCAGGATTCCTTGCTCAGTTTCTGGACCTGCGCCAGGTACAAAATTTGGAGTCCATTTTAATATAGGTCCAATCAGAAGATAGAAACTCCACTGTGATTTAAACAAGGGAAGGTCAATGTAAAAAGTTATCAAGCTATGACAGAAGAGTAACTATAAGCTATAAAGAGATCTTGGGGCTGAGGGAGAGTAACCAAGCCAGGACAAACATGGACAGGAATTCAGACCTTACTGGAGAAGGTGTAGTTGTAGTCCACTGGATGGTGAAAAATTCTCTGACTTTCAGACCAAGATGGTCTACAGTCACCAGGAAAGCAGGAAGCAGCCCTTTGGGTCACAAGCAAGCCACAACCAGTAGGTGTATGCAGGGTATAAGAGAAAGCTGCTTCCATAATGGAGCTGAAAATTAATGTGCTTCAGTGTATCTTTTTTTTTTTTCTCTGTAAGTGCTGAAGTGCTTTCAAGAGGATCCATCCCATGCCACAGTCCTTATAGACAGCCATAATTGTCAAACACCATAGCCACTTAAGTTCCTAAGGCACTTGCGTCATCTGGTACTTCATCACAATCAGCCACAATTTGATTAATTGTGTTGCCATTGCATGCAATGAGTTACTAGTCTCCTGCTTCCCATTAGCAATGTGCTCAGCACTGCACTGAAGACCAGGGGATGACCAATCTAATTCCCAAATCCTAACCTTCTGGGGCCATTTCCATTCTGTATCAGTCTGGATCCAATCAAGAGACAGAAACCACACCATGATTTTTTTTTTTAATGTTATATTTGCCTCCCACTAATAAACCTTTATTTCACTCAAACTGAGCAATAAATCTTCCACACTGAAGTATCTTCCTTGCCCAATTAATCCAAAGGAAAAAAACTGAAATGATTAGTAAAGAAAAATGTAGGGACTAACACACCCTTTTAATATGTTTTTAAAATTTTTTAAGGTTTAAAGTTTGTAATTCCTGGTAGGAAAACATTATCTGAATGAATACCCTAATGGCAAGCCACTATAGAATGTTCCAGTTGCATGTGGGGCAGAGGGGTAGGGATTCTCTTCACAGCACCCCAGCTTTCTTCATGAGAAGGTCAGAGGTACACTGGTTTGTATTATTGTGACATCCATTAGGTGATCGTTGCTTTTCCTTCAGCAAGGGCTTTATTTGTCAGAAGGGCATTATTATGCTTGACCTCCAAATTTGGATGACAATTTACTGATGAGATTCATAACCTTTGGATTGCTCTGATATTTTGACATATTTGCTGGGTTCTGGGCCACATCCTGGAAGGCCACCATAACTTCTGGATCCTGCATGGCTGCGAGAACCTCTGGATCACTAAGAATTTCATTGAGCCCAGGCATTCCTGCCATTCCAGG